GAAACGCCGTACGTGATGGCGCGGGACGCATGTGTACACAGCCACTGGGGCATTCGGTGGAGCTCCCTAGCGTGCCACGAAACGCCGTACTGGGTGGCGCGGGACGCATGTGATCACCGCCACTGGGGCCTTCGGTGGAGCTCCCTATGGGGCCACGAAACGCCATACAGGGTGGCGCGGGACGCATGCGTACACAGCCACTGGGGCATTCGGTGCAGCTCGCTAGGGGGGCACGAAACGCTGTACTTGATGGCGCGGGACGCATGCGTACACAGACTCTGGGACCTTCTGTGGAGCTCCCTATGGTGCTTGAAACGCCGTAAAAGGGGGCGCGGGACGCAGGCGTACACAGCCACTGGGGCCTTCGGTGGAGCGCCACGAAGAGCCGTACTGGGTGCGGGGGGGAGAGGCACGGATAGGAGGAAGGAGGGAGGAGGGAGGAGGGAGGAGGAAGGAGGCGAGGAGAGGAGAGGAGAGGAGAGGAGAGGAGAGGAGAGGAGAGGAGAGGAGAGGAGAGGAGAGGAGAGGAGAGGAGAGGAGAGGAGAGGAAAGGAGAGGAGGGGAGGGGAGGGGAGGGGAGAGGAGAGCAGACGCGGGGCGCTGCCTCTTCAAAGCGAGGGCCCAGCACCACGGGACAGTTGGGAAACCTGGCGGGGAAACTCATGTTGTCGTCGACCCCCCCCTCCGATCTAACTCGGGGGCGGCCAAGAGGGGGGCGGCCAGGAGGGGGGCACAAATCATGGCCGTCGGCACGTGGGAGGCCCAGGGGGCGGGGCTGGGACGTAATGAAACAAGAAGAGGCGCCATGAAATCTGGGGAGATCTCATGGCCACCGCCATGAGATCCACCCCCCCTGGGTCATCACCCCCGCTGCCTCTTCCAAACGAGGGCCCAACACCGCAGGACGGTCGGGAAAGCTGGTGGGGAAACTACTGCTGTCGTCGACCCCCTCCTCCGCTCGAAAGCACCGAGCCCGTCCCGCGCCCGGGCTCGGCACAGCGCGCTGCCCACCCGCTGCCGAGGCCAAGAGGAGGGCGCGTGCACCACATGTCCGGGGCCGATGGGTCGGCGGCCCCCGCCTCCGCTCTGACGCACCGAGCCCGACTGGGACGGCCCCGCGCCCGGGATCGGCACAGCGCGCTCCTCGCCCGCTGCCGAGGCCAGGAGGAGGGCGCGTGCGCCACATGCCCGGGGCCGATGGGTCGGCCTGTGGCCAGGGACGGCGTGCGTGCGGGCGGGAGAAGCGGGCGGCGTCGAAGGCCCTGCCATCGCTCCGACGGCCACCACTTCCCCGTGCTGCTGCTCGGCGCCGTGCGTGGGGCCTCGTGGGGCCTCCAAGGGGGCCTCCTGGGCTCTCTCGGGGGCCTCCTGGGGGGCCTCCTGGGAGCCTCCTGGGGCGGAAGGCCCGAGCGGGTGGTGCGTGCTCCCCTTCCTGGGCCCCTCCTTGGGGCGGCGCTTGCACTCAGGGGTCTCAGCTCTTCTCTGCGGAACTGGGCCTGAGTCGGCGGGATGCAAATGGGGGGAGAAGTCCAGGGGGAGAGAGAGGCGCAACCGAGGTACAAACTGTACCTACGCCCCACGGAGAAGGTACAATTTGTACCGAAGCCACGCAGACAAGGTACAAATTGTGCTTTTGACAACGTCCGCGACATGTGCGAGGATGTTAACGGGGGGGAGAAGGTACAAATTGCACTTGCAACCCGCAGAGAAAGGTACAATTTGTACCCCAACAAAACGGTACCGGATACTCATCCCCCCATGTCCTGATCCCCCCATCGCCATCCGGCCGACTGCGGGCCGCTCTGGTGCCAGATGATCCAGGATGCTCCTCGACGGCCCTCGCCGAGAGCACCGCGAACCCGTCCGAGCGGTGCCAAGGGAGCGGTACGACGCACGGCGCGGCCATCGTTCCGCGGCGGGGAGCGCCGTGAACCAGGAGCGGAGGGGGCTGTGCGAACCACTGCGAGCCGCGGCCACGAACGAGCACCGCGGCACGAGCCCGGAACGGCCCGGACCACCAGAATACACCCTGCGAAATGCTTTAGAAATCATGGGTTAAGAAATTCATAGTCTCAGAACTTGAATAAAAACCCAACATTTCCACTCAAATCTTAGGATTTACATTGAAACATTAAGAATGATCAAGACTCTGGCCAAAAAAATAGGTTTTCTTAAGCATCGCCTAAGGTGTAAGGCTGCGTGGTAAGGGTGCAAGGGCCCTGGAACGCCATGCTGACGTTTCCCGTGCGGAGCGCAGCAGAATGCCGAAGGACGCCGAACACCGCAGGGGCAAGGATGCAAAGGGTAGCCTTGGGAAGTAGCCCATCCTTCCCATGCTGGTTGACTGTAGCCCCTCCTGAGCCCAACGTTGTCCTTCTGTCGGCTTCTGCAAGGCGCTCGGACGTCAAGGCTGGAACGGCTGCGGCGACGTCGGGCCAAGAAGCCTGGGACCCATGGCCAAGGATAGGCCGACGAGGCGAGGACGCAGGGACAGGACAGCCTTGCCGAGGTAATGCATCCCCACTGCCTGTCTTGGCTGTGCAGGAGGGATGCCGAGCACGGGGGTGGGATTCCCCCTCCTCCTTTTCAGAGCCTTCGGGTACCCTCATCGTGGCCGAAAATGGACGTGTCTTGGAAAACGAGTCGGGATGACGCTTGGGGGGGGAGCAGCTTGAGCAAATTCTGGCTGGAGAGGAGAAGACGCAGGAAGGTGGATTGGGAGGAAGAGAAAGGGGGAGAAAATTAAGCAGGAGAGGAAGGGAAGTGACGCAGGCAGCGTCAACACACGGAGTGGAACATGCGAGGATGGGGAGGAGGCAGGAGTGGGGGAAGGGGGAGGGGGAAGGCAGGCAGGGGGAGAGCGATGGTGTGGAGCTTCACGTCGGATGTTCGTGTCTGTGCGGACCACAAACACTCGAGCGACGCGAATAGAGAACTGCCCCCACCCCTCCCATCATCACGAGCACCATCATCATAACCAGAATCGTCATCAACATCATCATCAGCAGCAGCAGCATCGTCATCATCATCCTTATCGTCCTCCTCGTCATCATCGTCATCATCATCAGCATCATCATCATCATCCTCATCAGAATCATCATCATCATCATCATCATCACTATCATCCTCGTCATCAGCATCATCCCCACCACCACCGTCATGATCATCACCATCATCAGCATCATCATCATCAGCATCACTTATAGCATCGTCATCATCACCATCATCATCATCAGCATCATCAGCAGTAGCAGCAGCGGCATCAGCATCAGCATCCGCATCAACATCATCATCATCAGCATCATC